CCTGGGTGGGTTGTTTTTTGGACTCTATTTTTGTTGTTTCTGGACCTCCTTGCCCTAGTGCCCCCTCCGCCCGCCCTGGGTGGGTTGTTTTTTGTTTGTTCTTTTTTCATGGACTTATTCAGAGGGCGTCTGGAATCCGCCCTTGAGGGGGGGGGCTCTGTTGGGATCCTCAGGCTTGCCCACCAGAGGGCGCCGAGGATCCTCTTCTGTTTTATGTTGTTTTCTGTTAGGACTGGAGTACTGTTGGGATCTGGAGCTGTACCACCTTCCTCCAGCAGAGTGCGCCGTGGGTCTCCTGGAGCTGGAGCCTTCCAGCACACTTGAGACGCATCTACTCATCAGGAGACCTCCCCTTTATAACCAGCTGCCAGACCTTCCTTCGACAACGCAGTGTTGACCTTAGTTTGGTTAGCAACCAGAGCCTCTGATACTGAAAGAATCTTAGTTGTCTCTAGTGAGAGAACAGATTCTAACTCTCCTCTGTTTTTGCCTCACAGGAAACCTGTCTCTAGCCTGAAGCTCTGGGTGAGCTTGACCTGCCAATCTGCCCTGGTGAGCCAAACCTGAAGATTCCTATGTGGATTTCCGCTGCTGCTCTCTGTGAAGAGCTAGAAACTCTGATCAAGGTCTGCCATTCAAAGTCAGAAGCTAGACGCTGCAGCTGCTCGTGTACTCTGCTGAACCAACAGTCTCTGGACCCAACAGTTCCCTCTCTCTCAAAGAGAAGCCCGGACCCAGTCAAGGTAGAATCTGAATTATCTAAAGGACTCATTAATCATCTGCCTGCCCAAGCTAATCAAACTATCATCTCTGCAGACTTCAGTGAACCAGCCCGGACCAGTTCCAGATCCTGTACATTATCTTGTGTTTCAGAACCTTCAATAAACTCTGTTAAACTTTTACCCAGCCTCCGTTGTGTTCTGCATGTGGGTTTGATATTAAACCAATCATGACAAGGTATGGGAGGCATGCATGTATTTGTTTCTGTGTGGCTTCACTCAATGTTCATTTTTAGGAGAAACAGAGGTCATTATGTGAGTTACAAAATGTGGAATTTTCCCCCCAGGCTGGCACGTCACACTCCTGTTGACCTCAGCAGAAATGGTAAACAAATTAATGAGTCAGCAAAAAAATTGTGAGCAAAGGGATTTGAATAAGTTCATTCACTCAAACTGTGTTATTTTGAATCAATCAAGAATAACTTTATCCAACATATTGTAGAATATAATTTTCTTAAAGTTTCCAGGGGGTACATAACTTTTCAACACATCTCATTTGGATGTGTTTTTGTGTATAATTTGGTTTATCTGTTGTAAAAGGGTGCTCCAGCTTTGCTGCTCTGATTGACCTGGAGGCCATTCCTCGCTATCGTGCTCTGCTACCAGTCTCCATTCTGTGGGTAGCAACCCGTTTTCTCAGAAGAAGCCAACCCTCTGTCAGTCATAGTTTTTCAATTCAGTTTATTTCTATAGCGCCAATTCATAACACATGTCATCTCAAGGCACTTTAAATTTCACCACATCATACAGTAAAATTGACTCAAATGAAATCCTTCACACTAAGCATTCTTGTAGCGACAGTGGAGAGGAAAAACTCCCTTTTAAAAGGAAGAAACCTCCAGCAGAACCAGGCTCAGTTCTTTGTGGGAATTAAATAACAGACAATTCATACTGGCCTACGCTTCAAAAGCATTCCGATAACGAGTAATAATGTTTTTAAATTAGTGTATTTACCCTTAATTTAAGGAAAATAAGATCATCTAAGAATAGAATGATAATATTACCCTTGAAATTAGACAAATAGATATTAAGCACTAGAAATAAGAAACTGTAGTTGTATTTTTTCTTATTTCATATGTAAATTGTCTGCTTACCTGCTCAATTCAAGAAAAAATATACTTATTTTAAGAACTTACTTACTTAGATTTACATTTTTTGCAGTGTAAGTTTGAATTGTGAGAGTTTTGCTCCTTGGATTTATTTCAACTTTTTTACCACCCTGTTCCTGCTTGGATAGTCTGTTCTTTCTAATTGTATTTTATGTTCTTCTAAATCTGAACTAACATAAGACTTATTTTGGTTTTAGAATGAAAACATAATACTGACGAAAAGCCATGGTTTCAAAACCTAAAGGAAGTTTTTGCTCACACATCTTTTATTGGTCTCCTATTCAAAATATGCTTGGTAATATTTCTGGATATTCTACTTGAAGCACTGTGGAGCCTGGTGTGGGGCTGCCAGAGAGCTTGTTGACTAATCCAAGACATTACCACACATTACTTCCTCTTCTGTAGACACGGAACATAAAATGTATTTACATTTTAAGATTTAGTACCAAGGTAATGAAACCCAAGACACCATCTCTTTAGATGATTGTTTGATTTGAGATATAAGAAAACTGTATTTTCTTATTAGGCATATTGAGGGAACAAAATGACATGATCCATGATGGGTGTTGCTTTATTCATTACATCACAGGAAGGAACTTAAATTTGTCTTTACTTTGTAGCTGAGACGAGTTTCACAGCAGTCGAAGGAAAGACGTGAGATGGCTGTACGAGAGTTATTCCTGCTCTTTGTCCTTGGGTTTGAAGGTAGTATTCAGGTTTTCTAAGATGTTTAATGTTGATTAGTTACCTTGGAAATCATTATCAGAGCCACATCAGTTAACATTTGTTTGTGCTTTGACATATTAAGCTGAATTTCTCTGATAAACATGTTATATTGCTTTGAGACATGCTTTGAGTCCAAAAAATGCACGTCTGAAAATCTTTAGAATTGAAAATAATAGGAGTACAATAATGAAAACTGATTACAGTAACATTTCAATTTCCCCTTTTGCATGTTTAAGCATTTTCTTCACTGCTTCTTGTGTCTGATGTAATGTCCAAGTTCTCAGATTTTGTTTTTCTCTTTTAAAGGTATCAGCGGAAATTGGCCTAAATTCTATCATAAAGTTGGAGATAAGGTTGTTCTGCCCTGCATCGGTACATCTTTTCACTCCTGCTCTGGTGTTAGCTGGCTGTATAACGACATTCTAGACAGTAAAACTTCAAACAAGGTCAGCAATGGAAATATTGACCCAGAGGCAGCTAATGCTGCCAGGCTGAGTTTGGACAGTAGCTGTTCTCTGATCATCAAAAACATCATAGCTGAGGATGCTGGACGTTACACATGTCGCTCTCAGACAGAAACCCCCCTGGATAGACTGATGCATCTGAATATTTTATCCAGTGAGTGTATATTAATTTGAAAGAGACACTTGTTGCTGTTTAACCATTTTGTGTATGCGTGTGGGTGTTTGTTCTTGTATTTGATACATTGCACGGCCATTTTCTGGAAAAACACCACATTGTGGGGACCGACTGGTGCTGTTGGGTCCGATACCTGAATCAAATGAAACGAATTACTGTTTTAGGCTCAGAGATCACATCTAGGACTAATGTATGAAATTTAGGTTGGGTTTTGGGTAAGGTTTGAACTTGTAATTATTCGGTTTAGGGTCAGGGTCCCAGTTAGACTGTAGTAAAGTGTTCGAAATGAATGGAAGTCTAAGGAAAGTCCCATCAAAGCTACAGAGATATATTATTTTTACTTTTTTTTTTTTTTTTGTTTTACCATCAAATTGAGGACTGGCTGTTGTAAAGTGAGGACATCTTCCTGGTCTTCACAAGCTATTCTGCTAAAGGTTAAGTTTAAGGCTATGGTAAATGGCCTGTACTTAAATAGTGCTTTTACAAGTCAGAAGACTTGACCAAAGTGCTTTACACTACATTCAGTCATCCATTCATGCACACACTCATACACTGATGATGGAAAACTACATTGTACCCACAGCTGCCCTGGGGCACACTGACAGAAGTGAGGCTGTCATACGCTGGTGCCAACGGGCCCTCTGCCCACCATCAGTAGGAAATGTAGGTGAAGTGTCTTGCCCAAGGACACAACAACACTGAAAACCGGAGCCGGGACTCCAAACCAACAATCCTCTGATTGCAGGGAAATGTCATGATGGGTTTCGGAAAAGCCCAGTATGCAGAACACCACGGAAACAGATGAAAAGTTTAACAAGATTTATTGAGCACAAGCACATGGAATAAACACTGGTACTGGTTCAGGTCTGGGGACAGGTTCACTGGAGTCTGTGAGGATGATAGTTCAGTTAGCTTGGAAGCAGATGAGTCTGAGTTTGAGAGTTTCAGATTTATACCTTGAGGTGTCCGGGTTTGGCTTTGAGAGAGGAACTGTTGGGTCCAGAGACTGTTTAGTTCAGCAGAGTCCAATAACCGCTTCAGCGTCCTACTTCTAGCGTGAGGGCAGACCTTGGCTTTGGGTTTCCAGCTCTTAGTCCAGAGCTGCATGAGAATCCAGAGAAGGGTCTTCAGGTTTGGCTCAGAGGGCTGGCTCGGCAGGTTAAGCTCATCCAGAGCTTACAAGGAAAAACTGGATTCCTGAAAGCAGAGACAAAGAGGGATTAGAATCCAATCAGGAGCAAAAAAGGTTCTCAGACGAAGCTAGGCTCAGGTGATAACCAAACTGGATAAACACTGCGGCGTTGAGGCAAGGTCTGAAGGCAGATTATATACTGTGGATCCTCTGATGATGAGATGCGCCTCAGGTGTGTCGAAGGCTCAGCTCAGGAGGATCCACGGCGGACTCTGCTGCAGAAAGGTGGAACTTCTCCAGATCCCAACAGGAAATTCCTGTACGCTGGTTAGGATTAGGGTTGTCAGGGTAAGATCATAGAAAGGATTTAAAATGACTAAAAATCAATGTAAGTCAATGGGAATCAACATATGGTCCTCACTACATAGAGAGAGACTAGAATGTGTTTGTGGGTGTGTGGTTGTTTGTGTTGGATATATGTTGCATCAGTTTTTTTTATTATTTTTTTTTTACTTTATCTTCTTGACAATGTCAAAGACACCTTATTTGTTTCCTCCTATATTTAAGACTTTTTCAGTATTTTTAGGGTTAAACTGATTAAAATATAAATATCTACTAGACAGTAAGATGGTCTATAATGGTTAGTCATTCATCAGATGCATCTTGTTTTCTTTCAGTCTCTCCATCTCAGCCAGCAGATGAACGGGCAGAGGATGAAAATGTAAAGTTACAGTGTTCTCTATGGACTTATTTAGAGAAATGTCCAGAAAACGGCCTCCGCTGGGTGGATGATACAGGAACCGAGCCGATTGGGGAACATGTCATCAACCAAGACAACACTGGAAAACACGCTAAATGTGTTTCCATTCTGACGGTGAAGCATCAGACCGGCAGCAACAGAAAATACACCTGCCGGTATTATAATGGAAGCAAGATAACAACAGAGGATCACTACTCAATGGTCTCTACAGGTAACATATTACATTTACAAGCTTTGAGTAAAAAAGGTTTACATACTATTTTCCTGCTGTAGAAATGCCATTTACTGTCAGGGATTATCTCTAGATGTTTAACTATTATTTAACCCTCTGACCACAGATCCCTCTCATCTGAACTACATTAGCATCATTGGAGCAGTTGTTGCTGCAGTGGTGCTGCTGCTGCTGGCTGTCACTGTTCTTATCCTCATGAGAAACGGAAGAGGAAGTAAAGAATCAGAGGATAAGATAAATAAAAAATCAGGTTTTTACTTTAAATATGGTTTCATTTGAAGAATTTTGTCAAGTTGCTGAACTGATTTGGTTTAATGTGTATCCAGAGGAGTTCTATAAGGTTGAATGAGAAATCAAATATAGGACCAGCTGTTCCTCGTCTTCACAAGCTATTCTGGTAAACGTAGGTTTAGGGCTAAAGCCGGGCATACATTGTATGATTTTCTGCCCTTTTATGGGCGATCCCTGTAAGTCGGGACGATTTTCAGCCTGATTGTGCGTCCTGCGTTGTGTAGTATACAGGGGGTAACTAGGGGCGATTGGCATCTGACGATCACTTCCCGATCAAGAATCGTAAGGCCGGGGGAAAATCTAACATGTTTGAAATTCAATCAGCCGTTGTGAGATGTTGGTGGACAAATCCTGTTGTTGAAGCAGAGCTATGAGCCGATTTAACAGAACTTCAAGCACTGCGCGTGTGCAAACAAGGGAGTCCTTTTTTCAGATTGACGAGTCCGACCAGCCCCTACTCTCAGCGCTGAGTCTGACATGTGGTTTTTGGACATGCAGTGTGAGCAGGTAGATCGCTTCAGAGCGTCTGGTCGCACAGTGTGAGAACATGCATCGTGAGCTGTGAACTTTTAAACCCTGCGATTTCACCATAAAGTTTAAGTTGGAGCCGTGTGCAATGATTGAAAATATCGCACAGTGTCTGCCCGACTTAAGGAGTAAATTGAGTTTAGTTCCGTTAGGGTGAGGTGTGCCCTGGACATGGTTGTCAATAGATATACTCCAGAAACTCTGTGAAGTATATCTATTGACAATGGATATAGCTGAGATGTTTTTGAAAGGTGCTCTCTAAAAAGTATTGATTGAAATACTACATAACCATCTATCCATTTTCCATCACACTTATCCCTAGTGGGGTGCTGGTGCCTATCTCCAGCTGTCAATGGGTGAGACACGGGGTACACCCAGGACAGGTTGCCAGTCTATCACAGGGAACAGCACAGAGATAAACGGGACAAACAACCATTCACACACACACAAACTCACCTAAAGAGAATTTAGAGAAGCCAATTAGCCTAACGGTCCTGTTTTATGACTGTGGGAAGAAGCCAGAGTACCCAGAGAGAACCCATGCAAAAGCCAAACTCCATGCAGAAAGACCCCAGGCCGGAAATCGAACCCCAAACCTTCTACGCCATAGTGTAGTAACAAAAGTGGACCAAGTGCTTATACTGTAATGTTAAAGGCTCGCTACCTGTTTATTTAAATTTATACTGTTCTTTAATTATGTTCCAGATGTCAAAATTCAACATCCCAACACGGATCAAAATGTAAGTAACTCATAGATATTGTCAAAAAATCTCAGCCTACAGACTCAGTTATTTTCTGACTGTCATGGGAAACATCTTGATTTAAAGTTTAGTATGTTTGAAAAACGTTTCTGGGATTGTAAAAACCCTCGCCCAAATAGTGCAAAGCAGTAAACTGATTAAGCTTGTCATGATTAACTAAAGATGAGACCCAAATGCAGAGAAAACATTACAGAGAGACCAGGGGAAAAGGTTTAACAGGTTTTATTGAAGAGATAATGCAAAGAGCAGTGTTGCTCTGAACTCTGCTCAACCGGAACTGAAAAGTGAGGGGAAGACACAGCGATTAGTTCAGGCTCAGTGGGAAATTTCATTTGTGAACTTGGAGAAGAGGATCAGGTTGCTGACTCACGTTTCCGGAGAAGTTGTTGAATCTTAAACTCCAGTCTGTATGCTGTTGTTCCAGTGTTTGTCTGATTCGGTGGAGGACGGAACAGGGTTTACCCAGAACGCGGTCGTTTGTAGGTGAACGGAGAAACTGACTGCTACTCAGATTTCCTATGGAACCTGAACGGGTCGTAGTGGAGATGATTCCCTTGTTCAGTGTGTAAATTCAACGTCCTCTTTGGGAAAGTGGATCCAAACCTCCAGTTTGAATCCCCAGCTCAGTTTGAGGCTAAGTTGATCCTTCCAGGGAGTGAAGGTCCAAAAGATCTAGTTTGCTGGATGACTTCCTGCTGAGAGGCAAAGACAAAAAAACAATGTTTAAACTCAGGTTGACAAGAACTCAGTCTTAGTCAGCAAAACCTCAGCTTGGCTAGAGTACCCAAAACTGGCAAACACTCTGTTGTCGAGGTAGTGGCAGTTAGCAGCTTAAGAGCACTCCGTTAACGAGGAAACCATCAGCAGGTGTGTGAGGAGGGGGACCAGAACCAGGCGCCTCCTGTTGGAGGAAGGGAGAAAAACACAAAAAAACAAACACACAGACTGGAGCCCTGACAAAGCTCACTGATTTACAAAGAATTTATTATTTACAGACAATTAGTTAATTGGTTTAGCACCAACTGATTAAAACTGGATGCTTAGAGTAGTTTTTGCTTCGCCTTTGTTCAAGGAAGGCTTTTATCTAACTAGATTATTGTCCATCTGTTACTGAAATTTGAAATATTAATATATTAATTGCACTTTTTTGTAATATGCTTTGTTTCCTGGGTAATGTTAACAGTTTCTCATCGTCCTCATTGACAAAAAATCTGTTTCTATTACGTTTTCTTTTTTTTCACATAACACAATTTTTTTTTCCAATTTAAGATAATAATGATTCTCTGAAAATTCTTAACTCATGTGGCCGTGCTTTGCAACTCTCTAAAATGGCAATAAAAATATTTTAAATATCCGATTTTGACTTAAAGCTGATATGCACCTTTTCTATTCATATCTATCATAAAAGCTAACTCAACTTGTACTTTCTTTGCTCTCAGGATGAACCACGTTCCAGTCTGACATATGCTACTGTTGACCATTTTAATTCACCTCACAAGATAAGAGTAAGTAATTCCATGTTTCAGACATTTTAGTTTAGCAATCATCAGTTTGCAAGATTGTTTGTATTACAAATTACACATGATAAAAACAAAAACATCTTGATGTAAGTAAAGTTTAACAGGAGTTCATTTGGACTATTTAATTTTAAAAAATAACAGATTGAATAAACACAAATATTTAGAGATATCTCAATTCTAATGTTTCATGCTTACAGATATTAAAATCTCAAGTTCACAAATGCAAGACCAAATTTTCTTTTGTGACATTAACGCCATCTCATACCATACCTGACTGACTTTGTCCAAGTAACAAGGGTATTGCTTATGAGATGATGGGGAAATCCTGCCCTTTGAGGAGCTTAAGGGATATTTGCAAGGCAGAGACTCCACTAGGAGTCAGATTTTTAAGAAATACGGTACCCAGATGTGCGCAGGGACTGGATACAAGCTGTTCAACCACTGCTAACAAAAATTCAAATTGAGATATTTATTCTCCAAGATAGTTCTCAGTGCTCTTGTCCCTATTTCAGGTTAAATATTTCCCATTTCAAGAGATTTAGGGAACAGTAGAGATAAACAGAACCCAAACTGCATTAAATCCAGAGTTAATTTTACACTGATTTGTGGTGTCATCCTATCTGCTGGTACTTCTCCAATGCATTTGGAGAATGTATTGGAGAAATACCAGCAATGTGAGGTCCTAAGTCAGGAGTTAGAAAACTTTGGGCCGGATTTATCAAGATCCAATTTTGCGTGCAGTAATTTGCGCTCGCAAACTGGAATTTTGCGCGAGGGGCTGAACCATGGTTTGCGGGTGATTTAACAAGAGTGATTGCGTAACTGGTGGCAGGTGCAAAACTGTTGGAGACGCCCTATTTAAATGATGGTTTTGCGCGTTTTGTGGTTTGCGGCAAAGTAGTTTGTAGTTTGTACAAACTAGTGCATTAAGAAATTTAAATCTAACAGTGACAGCCCCACCCCCTCCAAAATATATATATATATAATATATATATATATATATAATATATAAAAAACTTTGGCAACCTTTATTCCCTAAGGTGGTATGTGGCTGAATTTCTACTTCACTGCAGTAAAAAAAAAAAAAACAGGTGTTTTGTATTGGCCTGTAGAAAAATGCACATACCAAATGGCTCACAAGAAGTGACTGTGGATAAGATGACTGCGCGTGCGCATCCCCGCAGCATTGGCATGTTGCTCCACAGGCGCAGGGGGGAGGTCGGGGTTCTCCTGTAGGGCGTCAGGGCGACATGGCATTTAGAACGTCGGACAGCACTTCTGAAAAACGAGATTGGGAGATCCCAGCTCTCGCTGCAACCGTACGCTGGAATGACCCAGATGCAAAAAAGTGCAATGTTGCAAGGAGTTTTGTGATATCTGGTATTGCGTGGGTCCTCCTTGTGGCTGGCTCCAAATCCATTCGGAGTTCCCCCAACAACTCCAAAATGGCAATGCTGGATTAACGAAATGTTTTGATGATCGTTTCCTCGTTCATTCCAAAAATATTCACACGGAGTGAAAAAATGCGTTCTCCTTGCTTCATTTCGATGTCTCCTTCTTGCGACAATAACCGCTGCCATGTGTGCGCAATTACGCATACAGACCATTTGCACCTTCTTTTGAAACATGTTAAATATAGAGTCAGATACCGTTAGCAAAATTGCTTTCAGGTTTAATAAATCACTTTGTGAGTGCTAAATTAATATATTTACATGTTCTCCTCCCACAAGACGCACTTTTGCGTGTAAACGCCCCATATTGCATATTCATTGCAGAAAAAGTACTAAATGGATAAGAGGCGCTATTTAGCACATTTTAAAGGTCAAATCCTTTTAGCACGCTGTTGATAGATCCGTTTGTACATTTTTTAGCGTGCGCAGTGAAATAGCTCACGTTTTTATACACGCAAACCTTTGATAGATCCGGCCCTTTGTGTCATTCTGCTGGCAAGCTTTATTGAGATGCTGTTTTCATGTTCTCACAGAACTTTTTACATACCCGCACTGCCAAAAGTCCCAAGACAATGGTTCAGTGACCTTGGTGTTACTTATCTTGATGTGCAAATGTATCTAAATTACACCCCTAAGAAATCTCTATATCTAGGTGAAAAACACCAGATCCAGTGATAAAGAAAAGCTTAGGGTGTACCGTCTTTGATGCCGTAGCAACCTGAGTGAACCAATTGCTTCTGTTGTGATGTTAAAGGCTCATTACTAGTTTATCATACTCTTTATATTTGCTTTAGGTGATAATTATGGCACCACCAGCTATAGATAAAGGAAAATTATGAAATATCCCTTTATAGTCCTACAGTTGGAAGATTTTGTTCCTCTGCTTTTAAAGGTGCACAATAGTCATGTTATGTAACCGGGCACAAGCCAGCTTTATTCTGTTGGCTCAATTTGAATTCTACACAGAATCAATCTGAAAGCCTCCTTTGGAAAGTATTCCCAAAAGGGCAGGAAATTCAGTACATAACTGATAGATGAAAATCTTTGCAAATCTGACCTGGAAGAATGCGTAAACATCTTTCACATCCAAACTGGGATGAATCATGTCCTTTCAATTGTTCTCCAAAAGAAACGGAGGGTATTCCAGCTAAAACCGGCGCATCTGTCTTTGTTTTGCTTAAGCCTACTGCTTCTGGTTGACACGCTGACGTCACACCCGTCACTGCATTTGATTTGTCCAAAAAAATTGTGTTCGAGGCTTATGCATATGCTGGTTTCTGGCGAGATGTTTTTTTTAGGAGTTTGTGAATCAAAAAATCTCACACCAATTCATCTGGCTTGCAAAGTGAGATGTCTATATGTATAAAAACATATATCTATCTTAACACCAATATTTGTACATTCTGTATATTACTTATTTCAAGTATGGTTCAGGAATAATTTCTAATAACCTTACACTGCTCTGATACTAATCGATGAAGTACTGAATCTTGTGGTTTGTGTGACACAGGTCAAGGATCAGGAAGATGTGGTCACTTATTCTATTTTAAAGCCCAAAATGGAGACAGACGCAGACATCGATCCCAGCAGTCTCTACAGTTGTGTCAGCACACCAAAATAAACCAGACAATATGACACACTGCATCATAACCTTTCCTTACTTGACCCGTAAAAAAGAAGTTAATATATGTTTGAACAGTTTTTTTCATATCCAGTTTATTATGAAGAAAATGTTACTGATCATTGTCTCCTTTTTATTGTAGGCAAATAAGTAGGTCCTCCAGTGTCACAGTGGTTTTTCACATTCAGCTGCTAGAGGGCGCCTGTTGCTCTTTCCATGACTATATGGACAAATCTCAGAAGGGAAATGAAAAGCCCATTTTCACTGACCTTAAAACGAAAACAGAAAAGAAAAATAAAAAAAGGCAGAGATCATACATTTTAAGTAATAAAACTAAGAAGTTGTATCAAGCTGCTGCATGTTGACAGAAAATGAATGTGTTTGACGGCTCTGTGGCTGTTCTCAAAAGTTTGCAAGTTTAAAAAAGAGGTGAAGACTTGTTGCATGCTCAGAGCAGACATTCAAAGCAGGAACTTTAGTTTATGCCAGCATTTCAGCAGACATTACATGCAAACCTTTTGTTGCGTGTGTGCCTTCATCATATGCAGCTTAAATTCCAATATCCAAACCACATAGATGTATGGGTGAAGGAGGATATGCAAATGGAAACATTTACCATGTGGAAAGCCATTTCCCAAATCTGAAACTCAACTTTGGCTGCAGTTTTTACATCGTTTTTGCAACTTTTGAAAGTCAGATACATACAACTCATGTGCCAAAAATTCTGTAGTCATGGTTGCCACAAAAGAGGCATTGCTACAATGCTAGAGTGGAAAGAGATTCCGTTTACATGTAAAGATATTTGACCTTTAGTTTTCCTATTAGCTGTGAAAGCTATTCATTAGTTTTTAAGGCCTTTCATAGGAAAATCTGAAAACCTTTCCAGAAACACGTGAACTATCGTCAACTGAGCATTCTGGGCTGCTAGATTAGGTCCTTAAAAATACATATTCTGTAGCCCTTGGTCAGATTTTACTTTAATCTTCATCATGATTTTTATTTCGGGCTGTAAATTACCGTAAGTCCTCTAATATAGGACGGGGCCTTTATTTCACTCAGGTACATCTTGGTCCAGACCATTATTGGAAAGACGCCAGAATTAGAGGCAGGCCTCTATTTCTATTTGATGAAAACAGACTACCAGTGGAATGAATAAAAATGAGATTTTGTGTCTATTTGAACCTATAAAATACTAGGCTTATTTATTGAAAAAGTACAGTTACCATAATGGTATACAGAACATTATTCAGACATCTTCCAGCAGCTGCAATTTTTCTGCATGACAATACCAAAAAAAAGACACAGAATGAAATCTTAGCCAAAACTGACTTGTGAAACAAAGTTTAAAAAAATAAATAAATAATGGAAACTGTTCTGCCATCACAGTAAAATTTTAATTGAGGCAGGCTAAGTGGAAGTAGGCTACCAGTATCATATATTTCAATGGAAATTCAGAACAACGAAGGCCAAAGAAATTCTTGTCATTTTGACGCTGCCTGGTTACCACCAGACCTAATCACATGTCTTTCAGATCAGAAGGACTGTGTGGCTGGTTATACTCCTGCAGCAGTGTGTCGCAGTGAGCTTGATGCAGACGTTTTTGATTTATGCTCAATATTGAAGCGTGGTCTGTGCTACACACTGTGGGTCTAGATACGGCCGAGGTGATGAGGAAGTGGGGTGTAGTTTAGTCTGACAACGGAGGGACATGACGGCGAAAAAGAGGTGGAATCCAGGTGGAAAAAGGGTCCCAGCGTTCTCGCGCATCTCGCTCTTCTAGCTGGTCAAACTTAACGAGTTGTTTTCCGCGATTTTGGTCATAAAAACAAAACAAGCCGACCTCCTGTCTGTGGTACTGTCTGCACTAAGGATGGGACTTCCCATGCTAATGGCTTGGATTCGTTAGCAAACATTGCCCCCTGTGGTACTTGTATGTTACTATCACAAGTTGTTGAGGACTGCCCAGGAACATCGTTGGTTTTAATTATAGCCCCGGCCTGTATAAGAGTCCGGCCAGTATTTACCTCCGCCAACAGCGAGACATGCCATTATTAGAGACCCGGCTGCTAATGGAATACAGAGCAATATTAGAGGATTTACGGATTGACAGGTGGTCATGCACAGGAGCAGACAGGATCAGGTGCAGACAGGCAGGCTCAGTGGAAGAGGGTAGCCGAGACAGGACGTGGAACGTAAACTGGTCTCCTCCCTGGAGCCAGGCTTACTGGATAAAAACTGAACCTCCCCACATATTGAGCCAAAAACCTAGAGGACTCTGTTGGGGTGGAACAGTAGACGATCAGGAGACAAGACAAACACTAAAACCCTCTTTCCACTGGCTGCCAGGATCCAGGACATGAACCATAAAATAAAATTGAACAAATAGACTAACAAAAGACAAGTAATGATCTGGCGCTGAATGCTCAGGCTGAACTGAATATAAACCAGAGGAAACAGGTGAGAGGAATAAATTATAATTGAGACATGGAGGGAAAACAGGTGAAAGGAATTACTAATTAAGGAGGAGCAAACAGGCCAGATCATGACATACATGGCAAGATATCTGGTTCATTCATTTAACAGTTAAATCAAATCATTATTGTATATTGGCCCAGGTATCGGTATCAGATAGGATCAGGAAGAAAACGGATCGGTGCATCTCTAGTGTCAGCTGGAGGGATAAATATATCAAGATTATACTGGATATCCACATGCTCCACAGCAGCGCAATAAAAACATTTTTAATATACATGTATTTTTTTTTTTTACTTTTAACTGAAACGATACTTAAAAGTGGTCAGGAGTGTGTTTATTTCTTATATTTTTGACTGTCTTCACTGTGTTATCAGTCAATATAGAGGTGGGATATTTGTCAGATAAGATAATAGTTGCTTTTAACACAAACAATGATTACATATTGAAGGACTAAACCTTCAGGAAAGTGCAATAAACCTTATACAACAACAATGTAACATAACAGTGACCATAGCAATTAGCTATTTTTGTTGTCTGTTCTTATGAAGAAAAAACATTTAAAATACTGAAGGGAAATGGCCTCTCTATTCAGCTGTGTCATTACCAGAGCTAAAGGTGCCATAAACTCTATGTACCATCTGTTGTTCTTTTCTATTAAAACATTTTATGCGCTGATGTCTGTCCGATTTCTGTCCTCTCAGGCCACAGTGAGTCACAGCAGATGGCTACCCTTACCTGAACCTAGTTCTGCTAAAGGTTAGAGGGAAGCGGTTCTTACTAAATGTTGCCACATTCGTTTTCACAAGAACAGATTGCAATAAAGTTAATGACTCTTCGCTTTCAGCTGGCCTTAGATAACCTTTCCTGCACTGGTATTACATAACTAGGTGAGTAATGTAATTATTAAGAAGGATATGAATAGAAATAGGACCCATTGCATTGTATGAATCTTGATGTCACTACATGATTTAAAAAAAACATTCAGTCAGATCTGATCAAATTTGAGCTTCGACTGATTTTATTCTTTAAGGATGTATATGAATAGGATGGTGTTTATTGTTAATTAGTGCTAAATGAGTAAAATAAGAAGAATTGAAATTCTTTGCATGCATCGAGATAAGGGGAACTGTTCACAGGTCAGAGTTGTCAGGTCATTGCAAAGCTCCTTAAAAGGAGCTAAAAGGACATTGAGCTGTGCCTGAGAGTGGCTGTTTGGTGGATGTGTAGTTAAACATTGAGAAATAATAGACTTGCTCTTTAAAACCACTGGAGAAAAATTACAACATTAAAAAAAGTTATGTTAGATTCTGAATTTAAAACAAGACTGAATCTTTGATAGAAATATGATTTTTTGTTTTTAGTTTAAAAATATGTTCTGTGCCCTGCAAATAAAAAAATGCAGCAAAAGATGAAAGTTACTGGTAAACTACTTCACCGTACATTCCTTCAGAAGGAGGAAGTGACACATCTTCAGATCTGGAGCTGAAGAGTGTGTTATTTTTTTTATTTTATTTTTTTATGCACCCTTCTCCAAGCAAGCTTTATTAAGATTCAAATGTCATGCCTCAGTACGACTTGGCACCTGTCCATACAGCTAAAAGTATAAAAAGCAGCTTTGGTGGCCATGGTGTTACTCAACTAGATCTGAAAAAAACATGTCTTATTTAAATCTCAAAGAAAACTTTGAGGTATTGTCAAGATAAAAATGACAATCACAACTGTGCAGGCAGGCTGAGGTCAAACATTTGGCGTCATAATAATTCAACTTTATTGTCATTCCACTGTCACAAGTACAGAGCAACAAGATTAATTCTCTGCATTTAACCCATTACTTTTGGAGCAGTGGGCTGCCAGGGTGCAGCACCCGGGGAGCAGTGTAAACTTAAGGGTCCCAGAGTGGCAGTGGAGGATTGAACTCACAACCTCAGGAATCAAAGCCCTATGCTGAAACCACTAGGCCACCACTCTCCCTATGAAAGACATCAAAGACTGCAGTTTTCATACTGAGAATTTGTGACAGTGAGAACACCACACCTACACTGTACTCTTAACTTCATACATCCTCCTGACCACAGTGTCATGTTTTTTGTCCCCACCTCTAAAAACATATGCAAATATCCATCCATTTTCTGACACGCTTGATCCCAAGTGGGGTCGTGAGGGGTGCTGGTGCCTATTCCAGTTGTCTACAATCAAGAGGCGGTGTCCATCCTGGACAGGTCGCCAGTCCAACTCAGGGCAACACAGAGACAAACAACCATTCACACACACACTCACACCTAAGGAGAATTTAGAGAAGCCAGTTAACCTAACAGTAATTTTTTTGGCCTGTGGGAGGAATCCGGAGTACCCAGAGAAAACCCACGCATGCTCAGAGGAGAACATGCAATATTCATGCGGAAAGACCCCGGTGCTACCCAGTGCTACCCACTCCGCCACTGAGCAGCCCCATATGCAAATATATATTGGTAAAATGAATTTCTGAATTAAATCTCTGTCCAGTTGATGGCAGTAATACACAAAGTTTGTAAACAGCCACAAAACGCTACAGAAGTACATAAACAGTAAACCAGTAAAAATATCCAGAGGGCTCCCACCATAGGTCCAATTTCAATTCAGGCTGACTGGGGTTCAAGGAGAGAGAAGCAGACATAG